TCTGTGGGGCAGCGATAGAGCGTGGTGCCGTTTGTCGTAAATGGCGACCGCGACACTGCGGAGCACGACCGCGAAACGATATCGCTGTTTGGCTTCTTCGATCAGATGGGGCGGGGAGTGATGAAAAGAGACGGCGCCCGTGGCCAGGTGTTCCGCTTGGCTGCTGAACTCTCCCGCCATGACACTGAAGCTGCATTCGTTAACGCCCTCGCCCCCCAAAGGCGGCGGAGCGAGGCTGACCGAGATTCGCTGGGAGCGGTCAACAACGGCTTGGTCGTCCGCAAAAATTTGAACATGGCGTTCGGTCGTGGCGGCGAGGTGGAGGAGGGCGAGGGTCTCGGCTCGCTGCGCGTTCTGGGTAAGGCCGCGGACACGTGCGGCGCGGCGGGGGCGGTGGCCGCCGCCGTAGTAGACGCCATAGGCGGTGCGAGCCACGTGGATTGCTCGGTGTAGTACTAATACGAATAGTAATATAACTGGAATAATACAAATAATAGTACTAGTAGTACTACTACTAGTACTAATACTCATACTAGTACTGATATTAATATTAATAGGTGCTCGCACGGGCCCGCTGGCTGCCGCCAGGGTCCGTCGGGGCCTTCTGGCGAAGGTGCAGGGGTGGGTTGAGGTAGCGGGTCCCTGGGAAAGCTCGGAGATCCAGGAGCTCGGTAGATTAGTCGATGGGCCCGCAGCGCCGTGCGCTTGGCGGAAGGACCGTCCATTGATCGTCAGAGATCATCGTGCCAAGGGGACGTTATTCGGGATCCCAACATGGGCACCTCCAGATGGCGCGACCTTGCGTTTCTTCGTCGGTGTCGCAGTGCCTGCGCGGTGGGCTGGGATCGGCGGATATGTCGGCGCGCGCGGCCCACCCGCGAGGTAGTTGTAGTGGGGGGGGGGGGGGGGGGGCCTCGCTGCCAGGCGGTGATGTATTGGGCTCCTTTGGCGCGGGCCAGCCGCGCGGTGGCGAACGCGTCTGCGCCCTGCCTGACTCTAGGCTCTAGGGGGCCGCCCCGTGTCATGGCGCGAGGGTTTGACTTTCCTGAGGAAGGCCCGTCATTGTGAGGCTCGCAACGCGCGGGGCCGAGATTCTTGGCGCTCTTGAACCTAATGCGGACTCCCCAGTACCAGTCGCCGCAGAAATCGCCGAATGCGGGCCAGGTCCATAAAAGTCGATGAAGGACCTGGGCAAAGCGCCAACCTGGCCCGCCACCACAAGTGGTCTGGACGATGTTCCTGAACTCGACGGCTTGACGATTTAGTTCGGCGTCGCGACGGGCCTGTCGTCGGACAACGAGAATGGCTTCGTGTTGAATGATCGCGCCCAGTTCGACGGCGCGGCCTGGGATGCACGCCGCCGGGAGGGCCAAGAAATTGACCCGTGCGTCACCTCTGGGGCGGGCGTGGCTTGGCAGGCCCAGAGCACGGTGCTTTGTTGCAGGCAGCTCTGGCATGGGTGCTTTGCGCCTGGATGTCGGCCTCGGCGGCGCAGGCGCCAACCGCTACATCTGGCCCGTCGGGCTTCTGTTTCCATCCCCATGGGAAGGCGGCCAATGCGAGGGAGGCGCTGACGAGCTCGCCCGACGCGGGCGCCGGCCACCTGCGCGAGGTTAGGGCGCCCGGGAGCGGCTCTGCCTCGACGTCGACGCAGCTGCCAATAAGCTCGATGTGCTCTTGGATCTGAAGGGCGGGCATGAAGGTCCGGGCCCGGGGCCCATCACGCTACCTTCCCTGGATGGAACTTCTGCCCCGACAGATGGTTGAAAGTGGTGGCGGCTTCGAGAGATCGCCGAAGGTCCTCCGCAGAGACCGCAGTAGACTTGCTGTCGTCAACAGAGGTGGTACTGAGCGAACGGGGGACGCAGCGGCGCTGGCGGTTTGTCCAAACACAATCGAGTTGCCCCGTGTCGCCCAGAGACAAGCAGCTGCCCCGCAGGAGGCCGCTGGCGCGCTGAAGCGGTGGAGAGCAAGCCCCGCCCATGCGGCTGCAACGCCGGCGTCGAGCATGAAAGTTTCGTCGGGCGTCAACGACGTCGGGCGGGCGCCTCGCGCGGGGGGCAAGCGACAGGCAGCATCCGCGATGAGGCAATCGGAACATCTCTGCCTGTCGAGAGCACCTCCCGCGTTCTACGCGCTGGGCGAGTGAGGTGCTGACGTCACCACTGGCGGCTTTGGGGGCGGCGCCGAAACTGGCGGGGCGGGCCCAGCCTTTCCGCCACTCGCCATGGCCACGCTAGGCGGGGCCTTCCCACGCGTACATCCAGACAGACGTGTCTGGGAGGAGACGCTGGTCAGTGGGGAACTCGCCTCAACCCTTGCGGTAGAACCTGAGCGACAAGCCGCGCGGGTGGTCCAGCCGTCCGACCCTCCCGCCAGACGGTCTGGGCGGCGGCGCATGAAGTCAATGGGGGTTTCGCTCGCGAGGGCGAGGAGAGGGGGGGGGCGGCGGTTGCGGGGCGGGGGATTTGCGCGCGCATTCATCGCGGAAGCCGGCTCAAGTTGGCACGACCTCGTCGCGCTCACATCCTTCGAGACAGAAGCGCGCGAGGATTGGTCCCCACGTGGCGACCATGATTTTTAGTACGGCTTGCGCGTCGGCCAGGATGGTGTTCGAGGGGAGGGGCCTCTTGGAGATGTCGCTGTCCGAGCTTCTGTCCGAGCTCAGTGCGTCATCATCGTCAGGCGCGGCAGTGGCTGCGTCGCTGTCGCCTCCAGGTCCATCGCAGTGGACGACCGCGGTCGACAACCCGTTCGTGGGAGTACGCGAGTAGGCACTTGGCGAGTAGCCTACTGCCCGAGCGACGCCGCTGCCTGTATTCTGTCAATCTGCCGCATGCGGAAGGTCCGATTACTGCTGCGTTCTGCTTTGGCTCGTTGGCCGCGCCGTCGCATTTCTTGGTCCATGGCGGAGAGAAGGATCTCCAGGTATTCCCCGCGCGGCGGGGCCTGGTCGTTCCACAGCTGCCAGAATTCGACGAGGGCGGTGGGCCGAAGGCGGGTCGCCAGGACTCGGGCGATCGCCCAGGTGGAATTCTCCCGTTGGCTTCTGTTGTTTGCTGTGTCGGGGGGCCGATTGTCCAGCTGGTTGTGGGTAGCGATGAAGCAGAATTCGGTGAGTTCTCGTCTCAGCGTGTCCAGGCGGTTAATCTGCTTGGCGGCGGTCCCGTACTCAAGGAACGCCCTGGGGGTCACGTGGGACGGGATAAACAGTGGCGCGGCTCATCCTTAGCGGGCGGACATTTATCACGCTGACTGGTGAAGATGTAAGTGTGGCTGGTTTTGTTGGCGATGGGGAACATATCCTGGACGTCATTGGCCTGGTCAGCAGTGGTCAGGGCCGCTTGGTACTCACGGGCAATGATCTTCCCGACCGCTTGTTGCTCTTCTCGCGGCAAGTGAGCAGGTGGGAGTGGGTAGGGGACGGGGTGTTGTAGAGGTGGGGATATCTGGCCACAGCGCCGAAGGTCCAAAGTGACCTGCAACTCCAAGTGTTTGAGTATCGTTTAATCGATCCCCATCCCCAGCGGCGTGGCCTGGGCCCCACTGGCCGATTTACCCCCTTAGATGGGGATATGGGCCGTTCCCTTCGGGTTTCGAAGGGGTGTATCCCCAACAGGGGTGGTATTTTGGTGGGGGTCTCGAAGGAGATGGGGATGGAGATTGGTTAAAAGATACCGAGTTTCGCGAGGAGGCTTCGAAGCATAACGAAGTCAGCGAAGAGGTGTCTTCCCGCAGCGTTGGCGAGAACGTGATCCATGCGCGTGGCTCCCGAGCACTTCGCGCGACGGTCCCAGCCCTTGCTCGTGGGCAAAGGTGAGCGCTGCTGCGTCGGGGAAGCCTTGTCCGACATGGTGCCGTCCTTCCTCCAGTATGCGAACGAGAAGCGCATTGGCGTTCAGGTCAAAATTCCCTAATCACTGCTTGCACTGCGGGGTCTTCGCGGAATTTGAAAGATCAAGCGAACTTTTTTCGCCGATGTTGTTGGCCGGCTAGGTTCCCGTGTTCCCGGCTCCAAAATCGCGGATTCCTGATGATTGCTTCCGGGCCGATTTCAGTGGGTTCTGGGTTCCTGGGTGCCCAGGGTCCTGGTCGATCTCCTTGTCGATATCTTTATCGATCCCACGATGCATTATCAATCTCATGATCGATCTCCATACTCATCTCAATGAATCCATCTCACCATCGATCTCATCAAACCATCCACTGATTGGGGTTGTTCTTGAGTGTAATATTGGCATCCAAGCACAATATGTAGGTGGATGAGTCGACCCTGGAGGCAGCGGTGGTGGCTTTGCGAAGAAGATCGGTGCTATCGCCGTTGGCGTACCCGTAAAAAAAGGCCACGTTAAATGCCTAGAGAGAGAGAGAGAGAGAAAGAGAGGGAGAGAGAGAGAGAGAGAGAGGGGAAGAAGAGAGAGAGAGAGAGAAAGAGAGAGATAGAGAGACAAACAAAAGCAAAAACATAAAAAGAGGAGGAGGAGGAAAGGACTAATTATCTCCACCGTCGTAATTGAATGATGGTCAGAAGGGGTGCTGGGGGGCTGCTCATACATACGTACAGACAGACATACATAGAAACAGACATACAGACAGACAGACGTACACACACACGTATATATCTATACATATATGTGTATATATATATATATATATCTGTTTACACATATATATATATACACAGGTGGTGCAGCGTATGTGGTGCAATCTGTGCGGTGCGCAATTGATGCGGTGCAGTCGACGTGGTCCCCTCTACAGAGGTGTGCTAACTGTGGTGCGGGCCTCCTCCTCCCCCCTCCCCCCATCCGCAGCATGCCCGTACCAACAAAAAAAAAAAAGGACGCGCCTGGCCCGGGACGCGCTCAGACCACCACCGTGCTGCGTGCCGGGCGTGCCTCGACGGGCGCGCGCCGCGGCCCCGGCCGCGCCCCCCCACGACACAGGCTGGGGGTTCGCGCCCGCGGGCCCGGCTGCAAGAGCGGTCGGCAGCGCCAAGCGCTTCAGACCACGATGGGGTCCAGCGGGAGCAGCGCCTCTGGGCGGCTCTGCGCCCAAGGCACCTGCTCCGCCAGGTCCTCAAGGGGCAGGGGAACGCGGCCCCGCCGGCAGCGGGCCAGGGAGAACTGGCGGAGTGCCGGCAGGGCCACCCGAGCACCAGCCTGAGCGATCGAGGCCACCAAACAACGGTCAGAACGTGACGAACCGCGAGAGAAGAATCAAGCACAGTCCAAACATGCTGTGGAAGAGAACCTTCTCTACTATTCGCTCAAGGCGTCTGACTATGTTAGGAGGAGGAGGAGGAGGAGGAGGAGGAGGAGGAGGAGTCCTCTGGCCGCCCGGAGGCCCCGGCCAGTCGAGCCAGCGCTCGGGGCCGCAGGTCGGCGGCACGCCGCGAGGAGGGGCCCCGGGCGAGAGCGGCCTCTCGCGCCCCGCGTGCCGATCTCGTGGCGCGCGGTGCGGCAGAGCACGGCATCCCGCCGGCCCTCGGGCGCCCACTCCTCGTGCGCTCGTGGGCTTCGCGCGTGAACTTTGTTCGCGAGGTGACCACAGAATCGACCCACGAAGCCAGAGAGGGCTAAGCCCGTGCCCCGGATAAGAATGCACCCCCCCTTCACCCCCTCTATTTGTTACCCCGGGTCAATCGGATTTCATTGTGGAGAGGGGCGCGGAGGCCGAACTTGATAATCCACGGGGGAAGTTGCGAATCGAAGTTGCTATCATCTCATGTTGACTAGCAACAGCATCAACAACGCTGAGCATGGTCTTGGTGGTCTCACCATATCAGCTTCCGCAATCACGAGCGTCACTATCACCATCATCATCATCTAGCATCACCTTCCCCGGGAAAATCGTTGATTATCTCCGCCAGACCCCCTTCCCCGGGGCACAGGGTTCCATAGAAACGTGAGGCGTGGAGACTGTTCGAAGCACCAGACACTTGCAATGTTCAGGGTAACGCTGGTGATGTACCCTGCCAGGGGCTGTTGTGCTGGGCTGTGATGAATTCAAATGTGCCATGCCGCGTTGGACTCTGCTGCGCTCTATTGCGTTGTGGACCAGGTCGTTCTTGGCATTAGGATCCGGACCGAACTGATCTGGATCTAAGTTCGGGCTGCCTGGACGCATATCTCGAGCTGGTCGCACTCGAACCGCGCGGGGCGATCGACCAGCTCGAGCTCGAGATCTGATTCAGTTCCGTAATGGGACGAACCAAGAGGGGGCGCCTCCGAGCCGACGCGAAACGCACCGAGTGGACGGACCGAAACTCGAAGAACCAAAACGCCACGAACTGCATCAAGACGAACCGAAACGATACGAGCCGAGACGAAGGCCGAACCGACCCGAATCGAAGCGAGACACGACAAACCAAGACGAATACGATTCGGCTCACCATCCCGAAACTGCATGGCGTCGCCTGACGAGACAGCCACACTCCGAGGTGCCAAGGCCCCTCGCAAATAACAAGGGCCGCGATTTGGCGTACATTGTTTTTGATATGTGTTGTGCTGCACTGTGCTGCGTCATGCTGTGTTGAACTGTGCTGTTCTCTGCTGCACAGTGGATCAAACCATCCGTGGCGTCCCAAACCTGTACGAACTGATCTGGATCTTAAGCCCAAGCTGCCTACGCGCATGGTTCGCCCAAAGCTGGCTGCAATCGTAACGTGCGGGGCGTTCACCTAGATCGAACTCGAGATCCGCTTCAGTTCGAAAGTGGGACAAACCAATCGGGGGGTGAATCTGGACCGAAACAAAACGCACCCATACGACGACAAGGCCCCCGCACGACACCTCATCAAACAATGCAAAACCAGCGTTTCGCGAGAGGCGTCCTCAACACATCCTGCAGAGGGAGGCTTTCGCTGCAGGCGAGGCCCTCGCTCGAGAGATCCTCAACAAACCCTGCAGAACGAGAGTTTCGCTCTAGACATCCCCAGCACACTCTCATGTTCGCGACTCGCATGGGCGACCTGGACACGTGAAAACTAAAATTTCACTCGAAACATCCTCAACACATCCTCATGTTAGAGATCCGCCTGGGCAACCTGGAACAAGCTTGAAAACCAGTGGGCCCCTTTCGACCCAGAGCACAACAAGCGTGAAAGTGAGCGGGATCAGCGTGAAAACAAATGGGTCCCATTCGCCCCAGAGCGGAAAAAGCGTGACAACACGCGGGTCCACTTCGCGCCAGAGCGGAAGAAGAACAAGCGTGAAAACATACGGGTGGTTCGTTTCGCCCCAGAGCGGAACAAACGTGAAAACACGTGGATCCTTTTCCGCCGCTGAGCGGAACAAGTGTGGAAATACGTGGGTCCCTTTCGCCCCAGAACGGAAGAAAAACAAGCCTCACGCTCCGCAAATCCTCAACAAATCCTCACGTTGGCCGTTAGACATCTGCCTTCGCAACCTGGACGCGTGAAACTAAGCGTCTCGCTCGAGACATGCTCAAGACCTGGCACGTGAAGGCAAGCATTTCATCTGAGAACCTCTGAAGCCTGGTCCCCAGAAAAAGAACAATGTAACGTTTCGCTTGAGACATCTTCAACAATTTATGCAACACAACCGTTTCGCTCGAGAAATCCGCAACCAACAAACATGTGTCATTCACCATGTGTTTTATCGATCGGGATTTCGAAAACCAGCGTTTCGCTCGAATCGTCCTCAACTTTGGAATTCGCCGACCATACGCGATCTCGTTTTTTATCGCAGTAGAAATTCACCGGCACTTCGCAAGTTGAGGCCCGGCACTACGTTTACCATACTAAAAGAAAACCCTGGGCCTAATCCCTTTCCAGAAACATGATCGACCCACGAACCCGGAAACGAATATATAAATATAAGCCATGGCAACGTTTCAAAGACACTTGATTGGGCGACGGCCAAACGCAATGCTGAATGTATCGATGTTGATGTACCGTGCCGAGGGCTGTGCTGTGCTGCGCCGTGCTGAATTGCAATGTGCCATGACGCGATTGTGCTTTATAGCGTTGTGGATCGAGTCCTCCTTTGCATCCGAGTCCTGACCGAACTGATCTGGATCTTAAGCTCGAGCTGCCCGCGCACAATGTAGCTGCCCCAGAGCTATTGACAGGGGGACATGCCAGGAGGACGCGCCGCGGAACGTCGCAAGGGACACGCGCCAAGCGACGTGCCAGGGGACCTGCCATGGGGACGCACCGCGGGACGTGCCAAGGGGACGCGCTACGGAACGTGCCGTGCCAATGGACGTGCCACGGGACGTGCCAGGGGACGCGCCGCGCGACGTGCCAGGGGGACTCGCCACGGGACGCGCCACGGAACGTGCCAAGGAACGCGCCAGGTTGCAATGCTGAGTGTATCGATATTGGTGTACCGTGCCGAAGACTGTGCTGTGCTGCCCCAGAGCTATTGACAGGGGGACATGCCAGGGGGACGCGCCGCGGAACGTCCCAAGGGACGCGCCAGGCGACGTGCCAGGGGGCGTGCCATGGGGACGCACCGCGGGACGTGCCAAGGGGACGCGCTACGGAACGTGCCAATGGACGTGCCACGGGACGTGCCAGGGGACGCGCTGCGCGACGTGCCAGGGGGACTCGCCACAGGACGCGCCACGGAACGTGCCAAGTTGCAATGCTGAGTGCCTGGGCGACCTGGACACGTGAAGACAAGCGTATCTCTCGAGACATTCTCAACACATCCTCATGCTAGGCATCCGCCTGGGCAACCTGGACACGTGCAAACAAGCATCTCGATCGAGACTTCGTCAACACATCCTCATGCTAGACATCCGCCTCGAGCGTCTCGCTCGAGACATCCTCAACACATCCAGGCGCTAGACCTCTGCCTGTGCAACCTGGAGGCGTGAAACCAAGCGTCTCGCTCGAGACATCCTCAAGACATGGGCACGTGAAAACAAGCATTTCACTTCAGAGATCCTCTGAATCCTGGTCCCCAGGAGAGGACAATCTACAAAACAAAACAAGCGTTTAAGCGTTTCGCTCGAGACATCCTCAACCAATTCTGAAAACACGCATTTCGCTCGAGAAATCCTCGAAAACAATTCAGCGGGCCCAAGGCGACTTCATTATTTATCGCAAAACAATTCCGCCGGCCCTACAGCCGTCGACTCTGGGGGTAAACCTCTGAAAAAGAACCCTGGGCCCCCGCCTCTTCCGGAAAAAACACGTGGTGCCAGCTCGGGACAATCATGTTAGATACCACCCTGGGCGGCCTGGACACGTAAAAACACGTGGTTCCAGTTCGAGACACTCATGTTAGATACCCCACTGGGTGGCCAGGACATGTAAAAACACTGGGATCCAGCTCTCAGCAACCTTGTTAGATACACCCCTGGTTGGCCTGGACACGTTAAAACACGTGGTCCTGGCTTGGGGCAACCATGTTAGATACCTCCCTGGGTGGCCTGGACACGTAAAACATACGCAGCCCCCGCACTCCCAGGGACACGATCCCTAGTAGATTACGAGTCATCCGCGCTCTCAAGGCCAAGATCCCTTGAAAAACAACTACGCGGCGTCCGCGCTCCCAATGCAGCGATCCCTCGTGAATTACGCTGGGTTTGCGCTCCCAGAACCCCCTGGGCATCCTTGAGCGCCCAGACCCGTCAAATTTTGCAAAACGAGCGTCTCGCTCGAGACATCCCCAGAATGTCTGCGCGCAGGACGCGCCATCCTCGAGCGGGCACGCAAAACGTCAACATTTGCATTTTTTTGTAACTGGTCGGGGCTCCAGACTTCGTTTTTCTAGGATTCTGCTAAAAATGCCCCGCGCCCTCTTTACGAGGGAAAACGGGTGTCTGCAGACCCCTTCATTTCTTGAGGGTCCGGAATGGGGGGCAAACTTTCCTCGAGCAGGCACGCGAAAAAACGCACTTGTTCAACTGTAAATTCACACTTTACCTCGTCATTTATCGCAGATCAATTCCGCTGGCCCACCTCCCGTCGGGTCTGGGGGAAAACAGCTAAAAGAGAACCCTGGGCCCGCGCACCTTCCGGGAACAATGCACCAAACTAATCAAAATGCGCAAATTCGTCCCCAGACCATGTGTAAACTATTTTTGAATACTCCTCCTGTAGAGGGACAGGCCCGACTGAAATCTACTCCATGGTGGGGGAGGAGGGGGGGGGGGGGGGGGCGACGGCGAGGGCCCGCGCCGATCGGCAAAACAGTGAAGAAGAAGAAGACGAGCACCAGGGCGCGAGCCACACAGCGTGTGCTTCGTGCTCGTCCCCGGTCGCCCTACTTAAAGCTGTGCGTAGCCCGCCTAGCTTTTAGCGGAAGAGGCTCGCTCTCGCCCCGCAGATCAAAAGAGTGTTTCGTGCTCGTTTTGTTTTTTGGTCTCCCTTCTCGTTCCGTCGTCGTTCTGCATCTGCTGCGAGGCGATATCAGCACGAGGGCGGCCCACGAAACACCGCCGAGACACCGTTCGGCTCGAGCCCTGCTCTGACCAGGCCCCTCTCGTCCTCCCTCCCTCCCTCCCTCCCTCCCTCCTCCTCCCCCTCCCTCCTCCTCCCCCTCCTCCTCCTCCTCCTCCTCCTCCTCCTCCTCCTCTCCTCCTCCTCCCTCCTCCTCCTCCTCCTCCTCCCCCTCCTCCTCCCCCTCCTCCTCCCCCTCCTCGCCTCCCGAAGCCCCAGAGCTCCTGGACAGCCACGCCGCGCGAGCCCTCCGGAGAGCTCGAGGCCAGGCGCCGGCGCTCCGGGAGGTCGCCCACCGGAGCGGTGGGGAGGTCGTCCACGGACGCGGGCGTCGGACTGGTGGAGAGTGTCGTTGGAGCCGATCCCCATCCCCAGCTGTGTGGCCCGGGCCCCACTGGCCGGTGTGCGCCCCCAGATGGCGATATATATATATATATATACATATATATATACCTATACGACCACCCTTCGGGTGAGAAGGAGGTTCGGGGGGGGGGGGAACCAACGTCTCACTCGATCGGTCTCACTATCGATCTCAGTATCGATCTCACTATCGGTCTCGCTCGATCTTACTCGATCGATCTCACAATCGATCTCACTCGATCTATCTCATTCGATCGATCTCACAATTGATCTCACAATCGATCTCACAATCGATCACACAATCGATCTCACATTCGGTCTCAATATCGATCTCACTATCGATATCACAATCGCTCTCACAATCAACGTCATCATAATCATAATCATCATCATCATCATCATCATCATCATCATCATCATCATCATCAACATCATCAACATCAACATCATCACCAACATCGTCATCATCATGAGGGCACCGTCATCATCATCATAAACATTATCAACGTCAGCATCATCATCGGGACATCATCATCACCATCATCATCACCATCATCATCTCATCATCAACATCATCATCATCGGGACACAGTCATCGTCATCATCATCAGCAGCATCATCAGAATCATCATCATAATCGGGACACCATCATGATCACCATCGTTCTCATCATCAACATCATCATCGGCATCGTCATCATCCTCGGGACACCATCATGATCATCGCATCATCATCATCGACATCATCATCATCAACAACATCATCATCATCATTGGGGCACCGTCATCATCATCATCATCATCATCATGAGCAACAGCATCATCAACGTCGTCATTATCATTTTTATCATCACCGAGACACCATCAGCATCACCATCATCATCATCATCATCACCATCATCATCATCATCAGCATCATCATCGGGACACCATACTCATCATCAACATCATCATCAACATCATTATTGCCGGGACACCATTCCCATCAACATCATCATCGCCAACATCATCGGAATCATCATCATCATCATCATCATCATCATCATCGGGACACCATCATCGTCATCATCAACATAATCATCATGAGCATCATGATTCCTCATCATCGGGACACTATCATCATCATCGACACCATCATCAACATCTTCATCATCTTCATCGGGACAGCATCATCATTATCATCTCATCATCATCTCATCATCATCATCATCATCATCATCATCATCATCATCATCATCATCATCATCATCATCATCATCATCATCATCATCATCATCATCATCATCCTCGCGGGACACCGCGGGACACCGGCGGGACACCGCGGGACACCGCGGGACACCGCGGGACACCGCGGGACACCGGCGGGACACCCGCGGGACACCGCGGGCCACCGGCCGCCCGGAAGGGAATCATTTGGTCCGGCCGCGCCTCAGCCACAGGAGGACACCGCAGGACACCGGCGGGACACCGCGGGCCACCGGCCGCCCGGAAGGGAGTCATTTGGTCCGGCCGCGCCTCAGCCACAGGAGACTTTCTCTCGCCCGCCCACGCAGCTTCGCCTCGCCCGCACGGCACGCACGAACACGAAACCGAAACCGATTTCCCAGTAGGGGGGCTCGCCGTTCCACTTCGATCTCACCCCCTCACCTCCGATATATATATATATATATATATGTATATATATACATACATACATATATATATATATAGAGAGAGAGAGAGAGGTCGCTCCCCTCGCGTTTCGAGGGGGTGCATCCCCAACCGGGGTGGTAATGTGGTGGGGGTCTCGAAGGGGATGGGGATGGGGATGGGGATCGGTGAAACGATACCGAGCCTCGGGGCGCTGGCGGCTGGAATGGTGGGGAGCTCGTCCACGGAATTCGGCCTCGGGTGGGACGCACAGAGACGTACTAATACTACATGTCCGCCTTGGAGGCGCGCGTCCGACCCGGACATATAGTGCCATCTTGTAGTATATCGTTTCCCGAGCGGTGTGGCCATAAAACGCCCGCCACGACGCATATTCTATAAGATTGCTCAGTGCGGGCGTCGCCCCTGGGGGGGCGACGCACACATAGTATTTGTATGTTGGGTTGACGCCGATTGGTTCTGATGCTCCAACCCCAGAAATCCAACGTGTTGAAAAATCGAAAGCGGAAATTTGTCGCCGTTGTCTGCCTCCAGAAGCCCTCGCTGGGCCTCGGGACCGTCAAAAAGCAAAGCAGGCCGAAGAGCCGGTCCTGGGGAATGGTGCGAGTCTTCCAGGGACCCCGTATCGAAAACATGATCGAATATAGAACTGTAACACATGGCAGCGTTTTCAAAGACACCTGATTGGGTGACGGGCAAATGCAATGCTGAGTGTATCGATCTTGACGTACCCTGCCGAGGGCTGTGCTGTGCTGCACCGTGCTGAATTGCGATGTGCCATGCCGCGAATGTGCTCTATAACCTCGTGGATCGAGTCCTCCTTTGTATCCGAGTCCTGACCGAACTGATCTGGATCTTAAGCTCGAGCTGCCTGAACACATAATAACTGCCCCAAAGCTGATGGACAGGGGAGCATGTCAGGAGGACGCGCCGCGAAACGTCCCAAGGGATGCGCCAGGCGACGTGCCAGGGGACATGCCATGGGGTCGCACCGCGGGACGTGCCAAGGGGACGCGCTACGGAACGTGCCAATGGATGTGCCACGGGATGTGCCAGGGGACGCGCCACGCGACGTGCCAGGGAGACTCGCCAAGGGACGCGCCACGGAACGTGCCAAGGAACGTGCCAAGTTGCAATGCTGTGAATATCGATCTTGATGTAACGTGCCGAAATATGTGCTGTGCTGCGCCGTGCTGAATTGCGATGCGCCATGCCGCGATTGTGCTCTATAGCCTCGTGGATCGAGTCCTCCTTTGCATCCGAGTCCTGACCGAACTGATCTGGATCTTAAGCTCGAGCTGCCTGAACACAGAGTAGCTGCTAATTGACAGGGGGACATGCCAGGAGGACGCGCCGCGGCACGTCTCAAGGGACGCGCCAAGCGACGTGCCAAGGGACGTGCCATGGGGACGCACCGCGTGACGTGCCAAGGGGACGCGCGACGGAACGTGGTGGGGAAAAGCGTTTCGCTCGAGAAATCCTGTCAAAATCCAAGGAAATCCTGGCAAAACAAGCGAATTAGTCAAGACATCCTCGAAATTCCTGCGCGCGGGACGCGGCACGCGCGAGACATCCTCGGAATTCCTGCGAGCGGTACGTGAAAACGAACATTTTGCCTGAGACATCCTCTGAATTCTGGCCCCCCACGAGGCCCCCGCTCGAGACATCCCCCAATTTTGCAAAACCAGTGTTTCGCGCGAGACATCCTCAACAAATTATGAACATTTTGCAAAACCAGCGTTTCGCTCGAAACATCCTCAACCAATGACAAAAAAAAACAAGCATTTCGCTCGAGACATCCTGCCAAAATTCAAAAGAATCAAAGAAAAACAAACGAAGTAGTCGAGACATCCTCGAAATTCCTGCGCGCGGGACGCGGGACGCGCGAGACGTCCTCGGAATTCCTGCGCGCGGGGCGCTTTTCCGCGTCGCGGTCGGCTCTGCAAAACCAGCGTTTCGCTCGAGAAATCCTCAACAAATTCTGAAAACAATCGTTTCGCTCGAGACATCCCCAACTCTGCAAAACCAGCGTTTCGCTCGAGACATCCTCAACAAAATCTGAAAAACAAGCGTTTAGCTCGAGAAATCCTCCCAATGAATTCCGCCGGCCCACCTCGACCCCGATATTTATCAGGGAATCATTCCGCCGGCCCACCTCAAGTCAGGTCCGGGGGTAAACCTCTGAAAGAGAACCATTGGCCTACGCCCTTTCCGGGAAAAACACGACATCAGGTGTCTGAGACCTACGTTAGCCTTGACCACCAGAAAGAACTTCGAGCACCACAAAAGTGCCGACCCTGGAGGGCTTCCACGCGTCGGGCCCTGGGAGGCGATACTGTTCCGACACCGTTTCGATAGGTCTCTGGGTGCTCGACACGATCTCCGAGCTGTGGTCCATAAGCACGATGGGAGCAACATGAGCCTCGGGGCGCTGATATCGGTCTCGTTGGTGTCGTTCACGGAGGGCGGCGGCGCGATGAAGTCCTCCGGCGGCATGCAGCGCTCGACGGCGGAGTCGATGTCCTTGGCCCCATTGACGGCCTTGTTGAGGATGGCCACGATGTCCGCGGCGCAGAAGAGGCCGGCGCCTTTGATCTTGGACGGGCAGTTGCTGACGCTCGAGATGATATCCTGGCCCATCTCGCTCAAATCATTGATGCCCGCCAGGATCTGCTGGGCACACCCGCTGTCCACATTGCCGCAGTTGAAGGTTGCAGCGGACACCTCTTTTCCAACGGCCCCAATGTTGGTGAGCAGGCCCATGATCTGATCCGCGCAGTCCCGCTGCATGCCGCTGACGTCGTTGTTCGTCACGGACGAGACTGGGATGCAGTTCTGGACTGCGCGCACGATGTTGCCCACGACGCCCACAGCGTCGTTGAAGGCGGTGGCGGCGTTGGTCGCGCACGACGCGGGGTTCGGCGCAAAGCCTCGGCAAGGGGGTGAGAGCGGCGGGTAGCCCAGAAGGCGGGCGTGACACGTATCCCTCCGGGAGCCTCGTCGCAGACATAGCCGATCGGAGCCCCAGGAATCCATCGGCGACGCCGGTTTGGAGAAACTCGGGCCCGACGTCGCGCCGCATCACCGATGCGTCGGCGATGCAGCGCGATCATCCGATCCCATCTGGTCGGAACCCATTTGGGATGCCCAGGCTCGGGGAGACGCAAGACTCGTGTTCGGGGCACTCGGGTTGACCGGACGGGGCCGTCAGGGAAATTACAAGACCGAGTCTAAAATTCGACGCGAGCCCCCGCTGCAGACACCCCACGAAAACTGGACCGCCAAAATTTCCACGACGGGCTTGCCAAAAAAAACGCTGGCAAACCCGAGCTTTCCAGCGAACTCGAGCCTTACGTTTCCCCGGCAGCTGTGAGGGGCAACGGTAGGGGGGGGGGGACTGGCATAGGGGGGGCACATCGACCTGGAATCGACAATACCTCGCCGACAGACCGGCGATGCGCCCCCGATGGCCCCGAGAGCGAGCCCGCACGCTCCTGGGAGGGGTGAGGCTCGCAGACCCCTGCCGGCGATCCGATGCGCGCCCCGCCCCCGTGTCTGCCCCGACCCTCGTCGCGCCATGATGCTTCATTCGGGTCGGGCGAAGGGGGGGGATAGCAAAGGGGGGGTTTGAGAATCAGCTCACGTAGCTGATTTTCCCGGCGCCTCCCGGCGCCGGAGGCGGCTATGTATCGAGGAATGTGCCCCTCGGTGAGGCCGAAACCAGCTGCATGCAGCAAATTTCGTAACCCCCCCTTTCCCAATCCCCCCTTTCGACCGGCCCGATTCATGACCTCGACCCGTCCCCTAGGGGGCCCCGCTGCTCTCCTCCTGAGCCGCTTCTCGACGGCCCCGGGGCCGGGCTCCAGGGTCCCAGGAGGCCGAGGATGGAGAACGGCTCCCCGTCGTGATAACCTCAGGACCCAAGTGGGTCTGGGATCCTTGCTCGCACGGCTTCCCCCGGGTTCGCGGGCGACCCGAGGAGGAGGAGGCGGAGGAGGTGGAGGAGGTGGAGGGGAAGGGGGAGGAGGAGGAGAAGGAGGAGGAGGAGGAGGAGGAGGAGGAGGAGAAGGAGGAGGAGGAGGAGGAGGAGGATGTGGAGGAGGGGGAGGAGGAGGAGGAGGAGGAGATGGAGGAGGTGGAGGAGGAGGAGGAGGAGGAGAAGATACTGCCCAAGAATATGGTTTGCGCTCTCATCGCGTCTGGTCCCAAGCATCGGGCTGCTGGCAACGACGCGATTCCTAATGAGCTCCTCAAGGCGGAGGGCGAAGCGGTCGTTGACCTAATCCATCCAATATACACTAAGACGGCATTACTCGCACAAGAACCTGCGCTTTTCAAAGGAGGCATCCAAGTACATGTTCCCAAGCCCAAGGCGAAGACCATCACCATCACTATGAAAGACCAACGCGACATGATGCTTACCAACACCACTCCAAATGCTGCTACAGGTACCTTCGTCAAGCAGACATTCGAGCAGTCGAGGTCCTTGTTCGGCAAGGTCCGTATGGAGGCAGAAATGGCAGATCCACGGCCATGGCACATCATGTTGTACAATGCCTGCAAAAGATCCACAAAGCAAACGGTAAGCCTCTTTTACTTTTCTTCGTTGACCTGGCCAGCGCATTCTACCGCACGATCCGCCTGATCGCCATTAAGATACCTGGATATACTGGGCAACAGGACGATATTGAGTTTCTTACCGAGCATGTCGACTTGCCAGAAAGGCAACGTTGCTTCGAGGGAATATGCCAGCTCATCCTAAAGGCCCCCGCTGTCCTCGACGAACGAATCTCGGACAAGCACTCGACGCTGCGTATGCGAAGCGCACAGAGCTACATGGTTCCACGTTCGCAAATGCAATGACATTGGTCGCTCAACCCGTGGCTCACGCCCTGGCGTCAACCCTGCCGATCTCATATCCAATGCGACTTTTGTCAAGCCATTGCAGTGGATCGCGGACTAGCGTGAGGCCCACGATATGCAGGTCAAGCTTGACACGCCATCCAACCCCCCTGTACAGTCAAGGCATCAACGTTACCGAGTGGGATGCCTCCTCGGTGGACGATGCAGTTATCCCCGCAGCTACTACGCACCTCAACATACAATCGGACGCCGAGCTGCTGGTGCCCATCATACAGCAGGGCATGCAGATGCACGGCTACGATGCCAACCTCAAGAGGGGCAAGAGCGGCATCATGACATTGCTCCCTGGCAGGGGTTCGCAGGCGACCCAAGAGTACAGTACACACATGGCGACAGCTCGGACGGCGTAGCAGTTGAGTCTACTTACAGGCACCTCGGCAACATCGCAGAACGCGATGCGCATCAAGGGCCCGAGTTAAAGAACCGCATCATCTACTACCGGATAGCGGCCGACCCTATCACGGCCCAGATGAAGATGACGAAATCGATACCCACCGAAAAAAAGGTTATCTATTTCGACACGCTGGCCATGGTCAAACGTTTGTACCACAGTCCAGTGAAGCACGCATACATGAACGGCTACGGGTCCCTCACCGACAGCATCAACATCACGGGGCTCACCGAGGAGGACAAAAAGATCACCGATGCCCAGGCCTTCCTACGCGCCCAGCGACAAACTATGGAAACGGTGGTCAGATATCGGAGATTGCGATACTGGGCGAGATGCACACACAGGGCGATGGGAGCACTCATGATATTATGGGATCACCTTTCGGAGGTACCTAACCCATGGCCTCGCCTCATCATTGACGACATTCTTTGGATCCGCTCTCGCAAGGGTTCAACATGGTCAGGGTCAGCCTCCGTAGGTTCTATAACATGCTGAAGCAGGCCATGGCCAACGACAAAACATACCAGCTTGAACAATACAAAGTCATGGCATGGCAGAAGCGGGTAGCGGCGATCGCTTCCACCTCTGACCTTTGGACGCCCAAGAAGCAAGCCACGGCGTATTGCTGTATCTGCGGGAAGGGCTATGATACGATTGGAGCGCTTCATCACCACCATACTACTAGGCACGGCCCAAGGGACCGCGCCCATCTGTACGCTGTCGACAGGCATTGCAGGAGCTACGGCTCTGACTTCCACACGCGAGAGCGCTTATTAGCACACCTACGATGCCCAGGCACCCCATGTCTCGTTAATATGGAGATCAATATCCCTACTATTTCTGAGGAAGAGGCGGCCACGCTGGCTGCGAATGACACAGACAAGCGAATGCAACCAGGACGGCTTGGATACTACGCGCAGAAGGCGCTCCGCCCCGCTCTCAAACCACCTGGAGCCAGACGACCTCGACAGTGGGTACGTTTTGCACAGGAGGACCCGCCTCAAGCTGAAGTCGCCAATGATGAACCTGACCTCGACCTGCCAACTATCATTCCAAGGGGTAACGACTTGTGGATTCCCTGGCATCGATGTCATGTTATCTTAAACGTTTGCTCACAGCTGGACGGCGACATCATTCAGACGATGAAACCGCTCACTATAGACAAAGCTGTATTACACGTTTGCCTTTTTGCGTCATCGGAAAGATCGTGCTCAGCCCTGCCACTCGAGACAACGTTATCCTATTGGCTACGGCCCATGACCACGGGCAGAGTATTGGCAGTCGTATGTGACGGCACCCAGCGCGGCCAGACACAGCATATTGAATTGGACAGCTCGATATCCAACTGGCCGCGGAGAAGAGACGACGTATGCGGCCACCCCTTGGTGCAGTCCAAGACGTGGATGGACCTCACAGCAGTGAATGAGAATGTGCGCCTGCAATTGCTTTTCCTGATCGCCGCCCTGTCAAGCTCTGTTCCCTTTTTCCAACAGCCTCGTGAATCTGTTGGTCAATCCCAGAATTCCAAATCTGTACTTCGTAGGCACCCAGGGGCCCGGGCCTGCTCCCCTCCTGCGCAGCATCTCGGTTACAGGAGATGAGGAGCTCAAAGGCCAGGCCTCGGGGGCGGCTGGCCAAGGCAGAGCTCATCCCGACAGCCGGGAGGCTGCTGCGGACTTCTAGTGGAGGGTGTGCGGGGTAGCAGCACAAGTCAGGATGGGAGGGTGTACTTCGATCGATTGCCTCCCCCGCAGGCTCGTAATCCTGCCGGGGGGGTCTCTCACTCTGCACGGCGAGGGCCTGTGCTCCTCGTCGCGCAGAGCCTGGCTGGCAGCACCGGGGGCCCGTGCTCCCCTGCGCGCGCGCCCGTGCCGAGGGCGGGGCCCGTGCCTCCGCTCTCGAGGAGGAACAGGAACCGCACGGCTAGGCCTTGGGCGAGGGGAAAGAAAATAGGAGGAGGAGGAGGAGGAGGAGGAGGAGGAGGAGGAGGAGGAGGAGGAGGAGGAGGAGGAGGAGGGGTCGCCTAAGCCCTTCGGACAAACCCTCCTCCTTGCCCCTGGGAGATCCACATGTGGACCCTAGCCATCGCTCAGGCGCTCCTTCCCGGCGCACCTCTCCGGACCTCAGGCGCGTCTCTGGCACACGAGGTTCCAGGGTGTCCTCGCCGAACAACCGAAAGAACACACGCCTGATTGGGCAGGGACCGACCGTCCCGGTATTCCTTTATAGCCCTACCACAAAATATCCTTGGAGCCCAGGAGTGTCCCAATAAGAACAACAATGTTCTTCGAACGTGAGCCCGATGTGTTAGAGCAAGACAGTCTCAGCCAGAGATGTTCTCAGAACATCTGATGCAGACCACGCAAGGCTCTTAAAACATTATTTGGTAGGCCTACAGATGAGCCAGGACGCTTCGCCACTGCTTGATTCAGGTCGGGCATGTCCCTCTACAGGAGGAATCTTCAAAAATGGTAAGAAACAGTCTGGAGACATTATTTCTCTAAAAAAACCTTGCTGAATAGTTGCTTTGGGGCATGTTTCGGCTTGTGCCGATGATTCGCCCGAAAATCCGCCTGTAGGAGGACATGCCCGACCTGACGCTTGATCCCAATGGACACGCGCAGCGCCCCCCCCGACCCCCCCGCGCTGCCCGCCCCCGTCTTGCCAACTATCCCCGGGGGGCCCTCGGCCGAGGCCAGCAGCCCCGCGAGCAGGGCGCACGCCCGGCGGGCAGCCATCGCGCTCGCGAGCGGCGAGGAGGGGGCGAGACGGGGGCGAGGAAGGGGCGAGGAGGGGGCGAGGAGGAGGCGAGAAGGGGGCGAGGAGGAGGCGAGGAGGAGGCGAGGAGGAGGCGAGGAGAGGAGGAGGCGAGGAGGAGGCGAGGAGGAGGCGAGGAGGCACGGTCCGCACGGGCCCGGGGGGTTAGGGCTCGGGGGGGGGGGGGGGCAGCGCGAGCCCAGACCCCCTCGCGCCGTAAACAAACCACGACGGGGGGGGTTCTGGCTCTGTTCGGCCTCTGGGGGCCCTTGCTGGGCCCCGGGAGCGTCAACAGAACGGCTCGGGATGAAAGACCGCTCCCGCGGAAGGGGTCCGGACATCTGGGGGTCGACGTTGTGGCAAAACTCAAGACGTCGGGGGTCTGGGTCCGGACCCGCTCCCCCCCCCCATGCTGAGGGGTGCGGTCGGATCTCTTGGGCAAGGCCCGCTTCAGCCTCGAGGGGGGCGGGTGTGATGTTTCTTGGGTCTTCCAGGGGGCTCGCCCCGCGGCTCTTCCCTCCTCCTCCTCCTCCTCCTCCTCCTCCTCCTCCGCGTCGAACATTTATGCTTATGGCGGTTTGTTTCCTGTCGAAACCTGTAGAACAAGGAAGCGCGGTAAGGGTGCAAGGGCCTCGGAAAGCCGTGCTGACGTTTCTCGAGTGGGGTTGGCCAGCGAAGGTCGCCATGAAGGGACCGAAGGGGAACGGCAACCTTGGAAAGTTGTTCATTCTTGACGTGCGGGTTGACTGTAGGGGGGGGGAGAGGACTGCTTCTTGGAAGGAGGCTGCTTCTTATGAGGCGCCAGCCTTGCATCTATAGACAGAGCCTGCGCCTCCTGAGAGGCAGGGGTGCTTTTCAGAGGTCGCCCCCCCCTCCCCCATACCCCCCTCCGCGCGTGGACAACGCGGATCGGAGAAGACCCAGAAGAAGAATAAGAAGAAGAATATTCAAGGGGCCCAGGGACACACACAAGTCCCAGGACGCCCCATCTTTCCACACATGTCTTGGGTGCTCGTTTTCCCCCACCACCTCCCATACGTTCCCATATTCTCCTCGGAATCTAGGGGAACAAACGATGGCATAAACATAAAAACTCGGAGGTCCGCGCGGATTTCTCGGATCGGCGATGGGGCCTCCTGGCGGCGCCTCCGGCGCCGCCACTGGCACGCTCCGCGCGCCAGGGAGGGGGTCCAGCGCCGATCCGAGCAACCCGCGCGGGTCTCCGAGTTTCTATGTTTATGTCATTCTCCGCTCCCCCAGAATCGACGATGGACTGTGCCTGCGTGTTTTCCTCCTCCTCCTCCTCCTCCTCCTCCTCCTCCTCCTCCTCCTCCTCCTCCTCCTCCTCCTCCTCCTCCCTCCCCGAAGGGATGCAGCACACGACTAGGACGTGGCAGAGGCACCGCTCGGCCTGCGGGGGCCCCCCCTCGCGTCCTGGGCCGACGCCATGCCCCCGGTGGCGCCGCCTCTCTGCGCCCTCGTGGGCCCTGGAGACGTAAAACAGGGCTAGGATCGGGACAAATCGCTCCAGAGCGTTCCAGAGCGCTCTCAGAGCGTTCCGGAACGCTCTGGAGCGGCCGCGGCGCCCAATACATCCCCCAAACCCGCCGATTCTCAGAGATTTCGAATTATCCCGATCCGATTTTGTCCCGATCTTCGCGTCGTTGTGAAACGACAAGGCCGTTTTTTACAGGTTCCGTTTTGCCGTTTGTTGGCCGGCTCCGACGCCGTTCTTATTACCAGTTCCGTTTCGCCGTTCTTTCACGGGTTCCCGCTCCTGTTCCAATCCTGGAGCCGTTTTTGTGCTGCCGTTGCCGGTCGCCGTTTTTTGCCGTTTCCTTTTTCGAGAGCACTTTTTCGGAAACGGTGTAAAAACGGCCTTGCTGTTTCTGGGGCCCACTGAGCTCTGTGCCGCTCCGGAGCGCGCCTGGCGCGCAAGTGGACGGGGGGCCCGGCGTTGGGCGCCGTTTTTTTTTCGGGGGGGATCCATGTAGGGGGACTAGGGGAACAAAAAATGGCATCAACATAAAACGTGGAGGTCCGCGCGGACCCCCGAGTTTTTATGTTTATGTCGCTTCTTGTTCCCCGATTTCTTTGGGGGGGGACGACAGGTGCACTTCTCGGGCCGGAGAGGCCTTCTGCTCTCCCCAAGTCCGCGCCAAAACGGCGATGCTGGCGCACGTCGATGTTGGGAATATCTGTGGTCGGTCTGTGCGACGCCGACGTGGCGCGGAATCGGTTACAGGAAAAGGCGAGCAACGCTTTCCTACATTTGGGTCGGCCATGGAACAGCCCCACCTACGATACCGAATCCGGAGTACGTCGCCGCTGCCGACATCGCCGTCAGTGTCCTTTCAGGGGCCCCGAAGGGCCCCTTTTCTGCAGCCCTCGTCTCCCCCCTGGATGGCCCCCCCCACTACGCGACTGCCGACGGCGCCGACCCGAGAAATCCGTCAGGCCTACTACGGCTGAAGCCCATGCTGTCTGCTCCTCGTCCTCGAGGGCCTCAGGAGGCCACGGCTGGTGCCGCCGCGAAGTTGTAGCTTCCACTTGGGCCAAGGAGGCCCCGGCAACCCTCCGTGTGTCGGCTACACGCACGAGTGACCCTGGGCAAGGGTGACCTCTGGTGCACGGCTCTAGGGGGGCGCGGGGGGGCCCAAACCGAGCGCGCAGACCGCTGCGATCGCATCGCGACAGGTCGCTCTTGCGTGCAGTCGAATGTGCCGCCGGGGCGGCAGCAGCCCCCGGGCCCGCTCAGGATCTGCCTGCCGATCGCGCGGCGGATCGCGCGGCCCTGGTGCGCAAGCGGGCCCCGTGCTCGAGCGGGATGTGCATCCACGGTCGCCGCCGTCGCCTTCCGCCTTTGAACCACGCCCACTACTGGCGCACCAGCGCCTCCATCTCTTCCCCGGCCTGCAGTTTCTCCACCTCTCCATCACCTCACCCCCGCCCCCCCTCCACCCCATTCCGCCTCCTCCACCTCCAACACCTCCGCCACCTCCACCGCGGTCGTCGGCATCGTCCTCCACCTTCACCACCTCCTCCGCATCTTCCTCTACCCGCACGCACAAGCAAAACACAGCACAGACCGCACCCTGCGGCAGAGTGGCAGCCATGCGCGGGCACCAAGCGAGACGGGGGGGGCGGCATGTTGACTGCTACGTGCGTGTCTCCATCGTCCCCTTTGCGGCGTACCCTCCCTCCTCCTCCTCCTCCTCCTCCTCCTCCTTCTCCTCCTCCTCCTCATCTTCCTCCCTCCCTCCCTCCCCTCCCAGGGGCCGCTGGGGGCCACGGCCGCGGCGGGCGCGGTCACGGCGAGAGCGGCCACGGCGCCCCGCGATCACTTTGCATTGTAATTTGACAGGGTAGATGGGGGTGCTCTGGCACGCGCGGCGCACCTCGCAGGCGTCGCCCACCTGTCTGGCGTCTGTATTGGTTGCCGATGACTGTCAATGGCGGCCAATGTCGAGCGAGAGTGAGCGACACGGCCGTCCTTCCGGAAGGGTAGCACTGCCTGAACACATAGTAGCTGCCCCAAAGCAAATTGTCAGGGGGACAGGAGTTCGCGCCGCGAAACGTCCCAAGGGACGCGCCAGGCGACGTGCCAGGGGACGTGCCATGGGGACGCACCGCGGGACGTGCCAAGGGGACGCGCTACAGAACGTGCTGGGGACAAGCGTTTCGCTCGAGACATCCCGTCAACATCCTCATGCTAGACATCCGCCTGATCGACCTGGACACGTGAAAACAAGCGTTTCGCCTGGGCGAACTGGACACAGTGAAAACAAGTGGTTCGCTCGAGACGTCCTCAACACATCTTCATGTGAGACGTCCGCCTGGGTGACCTGGGCACGCGGAAACAAGCGTTTCGCTCGAGGCGTTTTCAACACCTCCTCATTCTAGACATTCGCCTGGGCGACCTGTACACGTGAAAGCAAACGTCTCGCTCGAGATATCCTCAACACATCTTCATGTTAGACATCCGCCTTGGCGACCTGGACACGTTAAAACAAGAGTAACTCTCGAGACATCCTGTCAACATCCTCATGCTAGGCATGCGCCTGGGCAACCTGGACACGTGCAAACAAGCATCTCGATCGAGACTTCCTAAACACATCCTCATGCTAGACATCCGCCTGGGCGACGAGGTCGCGTGAAACCAAGCGTCTCGCTCGAGACATCCTCAACAAATCCTGGAGCTAGACCTCTGCCTGGGCAACCCGGAGGCGTGAAACCAAGCGTCTCGCTCGAGACATCCTCAAGACCTGGGCACGTGAAAACAAACATTTCACTTGAGAGATCCTCTGAATTCTGGTCCCAGGAGAGGACACGCTATAACACAAAACAAGCGTTTCGCTCGAAACATCCTCAACAAGTTCTGAAACACAAGCGTTTCGCTAGGGACGTCCTCAAAATTCGAATTCGCCGGCCCTACGCGACCTCGTTATCTATCGCAAAATCATTTCCCTGGCCCCACGGCCGTCAGAACCGAAGGGATAACACACACCAAAAGAGAGCCCTGGGCCTGCGCCCTTTCCGGGAAGATGTGGCCCTCGCCACATCGCCGCGCACACCCGTCTCGACAGCCGCCAACAGCTGTGGACGGCGACTGACTTCCACAATGAGGCTCCCGCTCCAGACATGCGCACACTCGTCGTGACACTCTCCCACGCTCTGCAAAGGATGGAAGACGAATCGCTCTCAGTGTGCAGCTCTCGCACTGACGCCGCCGACGCTTCCGAGCTTCCAGCAACTACAGAGACGGAGGGCAGTTCCGGTTCAAGCCGCGGCTCCCAGGTTACGTGGCCAGAGTTTTTGCCTCACACAACAACTGCAGTGGTCGAGGGCGGCTCCCTTGGACTTTACGGTGCTACCTCTTCGCGTTGCATTTTTCGGAGGCGGCCAAGATGGGGGTGTCCAAGAGGGGGGGGGGGCGCAATTCATGGCCGGCGGCCTGTGCGCGGCCCAAGGGGAGGGGGGGCCGGACACGTGTTGAAACAAGGAGAGGCGCCGTGAGATCTGGGGGGATGCCATGGCCCCCGCAATGACATCCACCGCCCCCCTGGACCTCACCCCTCTCTCTGCCGCTCCCGAATTTCTCTGGAGGTCGGAAAGGGGTGTGGCATAGATGGGTGTGGTCCCCATCGTGGAAATCGGGATGCTATCTACCATAGAAGGGCATCGCCAGACTCGACATTGGCAACACACCCCTTTATGCCACACCCCTGTCCTGCCTCCAGAGTTTCTTGCAACCCGGATAACCCCAGACAGCTCCATGCGCGATCCGGCTCCCAGTGGGCCTCCCTGGGTCTGCTCGGCTCTGCTCAGGAAGACACTTGTTCTTCGTCGACGGCAAGGCAGCGGCAGTCCGCTCCAGCGTGAGGCGAATGTGAGGGGCAACGATAGGGGGGGGACTGGCATAGGGGGGGATGCATCGACATGGAACCGGCAATACGTCGTCGATGGATCGGCGAGAGGCCCCCGATCGTGAATCCACTCCTTCCTGGGCAGGCTGGGGCTGCCGGGCCCCTATCGGCGATCAATGGGCGATCGGGGGTCGATGCATCCCCCCCTATGCCTATCCCCCCCTATCGTTCCCCCCCTACCGACATGCGGCCTGTCCGGCGTGCACGAGGAAGCGAAGCAGACGACGGCGGGAAACCGCCCAGCCAGGATACGCAGTGCTGAATTTCGGCCGAGGGGCGGGCTTGGGCATCGAGGACCGAGGCTCGAGCCTCCAGCCTCCAGGAGCGCCTCCCCAAGGGGCCCCTTCTCCCCAAGGTAGGCGGGGCGCTGGTACGGCAGGGCGAAGACATGCTCGACACCCATGAGCAGCTCCACTGGGCGATAGGCAGTGGCAGTAATGAAGATATCGATGGTGGTGATCATGCTGTGCCATTTTTCAATTATCATGTTTGCTTTTATTGTTTTACACAGTTTATATACTCTACATCTATATATGTATATTTATTTATATATATATATATGTATAGACTATGGTCCTGCTGTGCCATGGGCGGTGTTGTGCTGCGCTGCGCTGTGCCACGCCGCACAATAAGATGCCAGGGGACGGGCCAAGGGACGCGCCAGGGGGGATGCGCCGCAGGACATGCCAGGGGGACGCGCCGCGGACCGTCCCAAGGGACGCGCCAGGAGACGCGCCAGGGGACGTGCCAGGGGACGCACCGCGGGACGTGCCAGGGGGACGCGCCACAGACGTACTAGTGGATGTGCCAGGGGACGTGCCAGGGGACGCACCAGAATAGTAGCGGTCTGGTCTGCTGCCTCCCGCTGCTTCTGCATATTGACGTGGAAGTGCGGGATTCGGTCTGACACTCCGTCCAGCGTGATGCTCATCAACTCCGCTTCTCACACATGCTGCATAATATCCGCGTGTTTCTTCTGCTGTCCGTCCTCCGTCATCGCAGTGCCCTGCATCTTGATGAACTCGCACGCTGGCATGAAGCAGTGAAGGTACGGCGCTCCAGTTGTCCTCCAGTCTACAAATGTTCATTGCCTCGACCTCCGCTCGCATGCTCTTCGACGCCTCCTCACAGGGCTTGTTTGCTTCCGTCATTTCCTTGGGTGTCCTTACGGACGAGTTTATTGTGTAGCGGCAGTTCGCGCTGACGAGGCCTGCAACCTCGCGGATGCCTGGCGAAACGAGGCGCGCCATCGGACTGCGGAGAGCGTTGCTGTGGCCGTTCTTCCCCGTGGAGTTCGACCTCCTGTCTCGGTCCGCGTCGGCCTGCCGCTCACCGGCGCGCTCTCTTGTGCTGCCGACCCAGCCTGGAAGGGCCGAGGCTTGTGCTGTGTCGTGCATGTATGGATCGCTCTTGCTGTGTAAAGGCGGTGTAACAGGGCACCATCGCCCAAGATACGTGCATCACGAAATGGCTTCCATCATCTGCTGATGGAAGAGACCGGGGTTAAGTCGGGCGTGTCCCCTTACATGAGGATATTCGACGAGAAATAAAACATATTTAAAACATGCTCCAAAATTGCCAACATGATCGACCCACGAACCCGGAAAGGAATATAGAATGTGAGGCATGGCAACGTTTCAAAGACACCTGATTGGGCGACGGGCAAGAGGAATGCTGAGTGTATCGATCTTGGTGTACCGTGCCGACGGCTGTGCTGCGCTGCGCCGTGCTGAATTGCGATGTGCCATGCCGCGATTGTGATCTATACAGCGTTGTGGATCGAGTCCTCCTTTGCATCCGAGTCCTGACCGAAATGAAAGCTCGAGCTGCCTGAGCACATGGTAGCTGTCACAGAACTAATTGACAGGGGGGCATGCCAGGAGGACGCGCTGCGGAACGTCCCAAGGGACGCGCCAAGCGACGTGCCAGGGGACGTGCCATGGGGACGCACCGCGGGACGTGCCAAAGGGACGCGCTACGGAACGCGTCAATGGACGTGCCACGGGACGTGCCAGGGGGCGCACCGCGCGACGTGCCAGGGGGACTCGCCCCGGAACGCTCCACGGAACGTGCCAAGTTGCAATGTTGAGTGTATCGATCATGATGTACGGTGCCGACGGCTGTGCTGCGCTGCGCCGTGCTGAATTGCGATGTGCCATGCCGCGATTGTGCTCTAGATAGCGTTGTGGATCGAGTCCTCTTTGCATTCGAGTCCTGACCGAACTGATCCTGATCTTAAGCTCGAACTGCCTGAGCAGATGGTAGCTGCCCAGAACTAATTGACAGGGGGACATGCCAGGAGGACGCGCCGCGGAACGTCCCAAGGGACGCGCCAAGCGACGTGCCAGGGGACGTGCCATGGGGACGCACCGCGGGACGTGCCAAAGGGACGCGCTAC